ACTGCTGCCTTGCCAGATAGACCAGCTCTTTAGAATACCAGGAGCTGGAACTCAGACAAAAATTGGCCATGCACATAAAAGTAAATGTAATGTACAGCACTCAACCTAGTTCAAATGGGCCCATCAAATTTTAGTTTTACCAGAAATAGAGATAAACTCTCTGATGTCCCTTCAATTTAGACTGTTCATTGAGAATACCACTGTCACCATCCCTGGCTCATTAACAAACTCCTAAAGGAATTTAATGGACTGTGAATTGGAGATGAGTAGGTTTCCCATTTTACAAAGCTGCACTACATATTTATTTTTGTAATATGCTGTGAAAATTTAGGAAAATTGAACCCTTTTTTAGCTTACCTGCAGATATGAAGAGAAAACACAAAAAGGGTACCTTGAAGGAAGGCTTGTTGCTATTCAAGTAAGAAGAAGTTCAGAAAAGTCCTGATTTTAGGCATAACATGAGTAGGAGCACTTTGATCACAGTAAATACTGTATTATTACTACATCAAATGTTGATGCAAAAAATATTTCACAGCTTGACTGGATAGAATGATTTAGCGGTTCCTGTGCCTCACTGAGATAAAGAATGAGAGGTTTATAAAACAAATAATAAAGTAAAGAAACAATACCACTGAAATCACCCAAACCTGTCATGAGAACCTCAAATCCCTCCCTTTGAACCCTCATAATATGCACAAGTACAAGTCATTTATTTTTGCAGTTACCATAAATGTAGTTACGCAGTCCCCCTACTTTACATTTCTCTGTTTCATTTCCATTGACTTCAAAGATTCACTATCACCTGTTTAACTTGCTAAAAGTCAAAATTAATCAGAATCTGTTACTCATAACGGATCATCTCCAAAATATTTCTAAGTTCTTCTTTCAAGAGAATGTTTTTTGCTGGTTTTGTTACTTCATCCAAATTATAATTGTCTTCACAGCATTATTTTACATAATTTAGTTTTAAACACTTGCTTTTATGAAAGTAAACTTCAAATTTTCAATACAAACTTTCTATCTAGTACTTTACCGTTGCAAGATAGTATTTGATCATTGCTTCTCTTTTTGATTGAGAAAATAAAACTATCCTATACAAGCACAGGAAAAAAATAAACATAACTAAAGTCTACAGTCTCATGAGTTAGGTATTTCTTTTCCTTATGAGCTATAGAAGAGATAATGAGCTAGATTACATGTTGAGGGAAGCTTTCTGCAGCCTTAGCATAAGTATTGAACGCAAGACAGTCTCCATTTAGCCACCTATCCCACTTGTATTTTTTAGGCAATAGTCCATTCATAAGTATGAAGTTCTGCCTTTAGTATGAACTTTTATTAATCTTCAAGAGGAAGGCACGGTTCAAAGTTGCCAGCCAAACAGAGGCTGTGGAAGGAAAAAGGGAATTCTGCATGTGCACAACTATTTAGGAAAATTATTTTGCTGGCATTATGACATTAAAGTGATCAAGAAAATGTTTGGTAGATCTTGTTTTGCATTGGTTGTGTAGTCGAAATGCCATGAGTTCGAGTAGTGCTAGTAAAACAGTCCTTGTAACATATTTATTACAGGGTGGGGTAGTCCAAAACTAGAGGGCATAGATTTAAGGTGACAGGGGAAAGATTTAAAAAGGACCTGAGGGTTAACTTTTTCGCACAGACTGTGGTGTGTTCATGGAAGATCTGCCAGAAGTAGTACTGGAGGTGGGTACAATTAAACATTTAAAAGGCATCTGGATGGGTATATGAATAGGAAGAGTTGAGGGGGATATGGGCCAAATGCTGGCAATGGGACTAGGTCAGATTGGGATGTCTGGTCGGCACAATCAAATTGGATCGAAGAATCTGTTTCCATGCTGTATGACTCCATGACTATTCTGTTTTGGAGCCATGTCAAAACTACGTGAATCTACATCTATTGTATAGTAGTATATTAAGCTCAAGAATACTGGCCATTATCAACAGCAAGAAAATACTGCTTCCTCCAAGAGATTTTCTGTTATTTCTACGCAGAACGTGACAGGATACGATGGCAACACACATTTTAGCAACTTTCTTTACCTCCCAAACATAGACCAACTTCCGTATTCAGTCACATAATATCAACAAAATAAGGACAAATGTTCTCTTGGACTCATATCTGGACACAAACTAATATCATGTTCTTAGTTTTGCTGACAAGGAGAAAACTTATTCTGTAAACTAGCTTGGGAAATTTGTGGAAAACATCTGATAGGTTGAAGCAGGCCATATGAGTGGCAGCTGTTGAGATTAACAAATGCATAAAAATCAATGTTTTCAAATTTTACAGGCTCTTCGTTGGGAATTTGTAAGTTTATTGAGGGCAGTGGAACATATTCAATGACGCCCATTCCTTTCTGTATTTATTATCTGATGGAAATTAATTCTGGTTTTTAAGTCATCTTTTTTACACCCTAAGGTACAATTCTCTGCTATTGCAGTGTATTCAATTTACTAGGCTGATTGAGACTGAGCAAAACTGAGTAGCAACCTGGAATATCAGTCAGTTTATTTGATAAAATAACAGAGATCAGTCATTAAGCAAAATTTGAAATGCTACACTAGAGAAGAAATAATACCGTGGAAATCAAGCTATATGATTTTACTGTGCCAGTACTTTTACTTACGCTTCTTGATTAAACTTTACTGTCCACTATTTTGAAAGAAATGCTGAACTATTTCCTTCATTGCTTCACTTTTTAATGGGCGAAGCACTCCAGCTAAAGCAGCAAAGGAATTTGATGCAAATGAGTCAAACGTATGTATAATATTATGTAGCATAAGTTCCAGGGTAAAGTGACTGGAACACCTGCTGCAGAGGCCACTGGGGTAAAGAAGGATTATAAACAGCATTGATTAAATCAGCTTTCTATGCTTAGAAAAACAAACCTCAAAAGAAACAAAAATAAAAGCTGACCTGCAAACAGAAGGAAAAATAGGGGAAAGATATTTTCCCATTAAAAAGTAATTGGAAATTTTTGTAATTAAAATAAAGTAGCTGATATTTCCATAATAATGAAAAATGCATCTGAGTGCAAGACAGGAGCAATAGCAGAATTGCTCATTTTTGTTTCATGTAATTAATCTGAATACTCAGCTTAATGCAAGTTCTGACCAGAGAGGTTCAGTAACTGCTGACAGATGCAACCTGCATTGTTAATGCACAGCATTGATGCCTGCCTCCTGACATGCTGGCAGATTTAAATTTCTTTCGAGTCAATATATCTTTACACCAGGACATAAATATTGCTCAAATCAGGTTTCTTTGCAAAGCAAAGAATACCCTGTTGGCTAAACAGTATCCTGAATTCATTTCAACTGTAATGCTTCTTGTGAAAACAAAAAAAAAGACCTTCAATGTTAATGCAGCACCTACCATATATTTCCAAGAAATCCTCCAGTGGTCTACAGATCTACTCAGGTAGTTTGCCAAAAGCTCAATTGTTAGTGTGGAATTCATTTTCCTCTGATTGTACTTAATTTTTAAGTATCTGTTCAATAACAACTTCAATCACAACTGATAAAACAATAAAAGCTAAACATAAAGTTGTAAAGCAGTACCATAGTGGCATGTCCAGATAAAATAACAGAGGGAAGCGAGTATCTTTCCAAGAGGTACGCAGGCTTATAATGGGTGTGAATAAATTCCTCCTCGGCTGTGTCAAGTAATCACATAGTCTGCTGGGATCTGGGGTAGATTTTAATTGAAAATGGCAATTTACCACCCTGTTTACAATATTAACTCAGTCATCATCATTTTCCACTGTGCAGATGATATGCCTGCCTGTTTCAGGAATAGATACACTCATGCTCATATGGTTTTACCAGGTGGTACTGCAAAAGATGCTGACGATTAGTTCCTTGTGGAGTCAGCAGAAGCAGAAGTGCACCTCTGGGATCCAGACGAATAATGTGGGCTACTCCTACCTTGGAGTCCTTATTCACAGTTGGTGCCCTACCACAATCTTAACCTACCACCCTCTCAATGAACTATCATAAAAACCAAAATAACTGCGGATGCTGTAAATCAAGAACAAAAACAAAGTTGCTGGAATAGCTCAGCAGGTCTGGCAGCGTCTGTGAAGGAGAAAACAGAGTTAACGTTTCGGGTCCAGTGACCCTTCCTCAGAACTGAGGAACTGTGTTCTGAGGAAGGGTCACCGGACCCGAAATGTTAACTCTGTTTTTTCCTTCACAGATGCTGCCAGACCCAATGAACTGTCATGTTGTCTGCTGAGCCAGACTGCAAGCAACACAAAAATGTCCAATACTAGACACATAGCAAACTACAGTGGGGCATCCATAGCTTGCAAGCAACATGCTAATGAGACTGAGTCTTCAAAATTGTGCAGATCTAATAGCAACCAGATATGATGCCACATCAGCACACTCAGTTGATCAGTATTTCGATAATTGTTGATCAGTATTTCGATAATTGTTACTCAGTATTCAGAATCACACATGAACAATGACTACATGACCAAGGGAGCAGAAGGTAACCAGAGTCCACAGAAAGACTTTTCACCAAAGAATTAATGCCTTCAGGTAAAAAAGAGGAGATAAAATTGATGGGAAAATGTGAGATTGAAACAAAAAGTTAAAATAAACTACATCTAGTTCAACAGCTGTATCAGGTGTACACATGTACGATTCTTCAAGAGTAGATTTTCAGGAGGTAATAACAAGTCTTTTGATCAAGAGTATTTTAAAATAATGCACTACTACAACCTAATATTGTGAAATTTTTAATAAAGTAGACCATCTTGCAATTGTTGATTTGATACGTAAACAATATTTTATTCTATTTTATCCTATTTTATTCATGTGAAAATACAAATGTATTTGGCTTAAAAATGTTTTATGCTGTTTGTGCTTTGAATTTTCTATTAAGTGCTCATGTTACTATCGGTGAAAACTAGTCTCTAGCATTAATATTAATTCACTTTGGTTTAGAGAAAAAGTGATTAGTTTTATGTCCTTACCATTTTCCATGTGTTCTGCCTCACCAACGCTGCCATCAGGTGTGGTCCTCTCGTAGTTGTCTTCCGGAAGTGGGAGTGAGCCTAGTCTTGGTCCTGATGAACTCTTGCTGCTCGGTGTTTCCGATTCTTCCAAGCCACTATCATAACAGCTTTGTAGGGACCCCTGATGTGGATCCTGAGGCTGACTCACAACAGAGAAAGTCACACGACGAAAAGGCTAGAAGAAAGATGATCATAAATGAAACAGCTGTATTTACATCAACTCTACAAAGTTCTGTAAGACAGAAAATAAAATGGAGACTGAAGCACTGAACAAAAAATACTCAAATTTTACAGATTACTAGTGAATGCCATTCTTTTAATGACTGCATCCATAAAATTTGTTCAGTAACTGAAGTCATCATCAGAGGAAAACAACAAATTCTGGAGATCACAACGGGTCAAGCAGCATCTATGGAGGGACAGCAAGCTAACTTCAGCTCTGATGAAGCGTCATCTAGACTCAAAACATTAGCTTACTCTCTCTCCATGGATGCTGCCTGATCTGCTGTGATCTCCAGCATTTGTTGTTTTCAGTACAGATTCCAGTATCTGTCGTAATTTGCTCTTTCTTCATCTGACGAAACCCATTCATAATTTAACATATCAATCATTTCCATTGGCCCAGAAATGCCAATCAAGTTCAAAAACAGGGATTGGGATAAGAAGAAAGAAGAGTTTGAGGTTTTCCATGGTCAGGTGTAAGGGATAGGATTGGGGCGGAGGGGTTCACGGGGTCGGGGAAAGAGGGTAGGATCAGTGAGACGTTGGATCGGAGATTGACTGGAAAAGGTCAGGTCAGTGGGATGTTGTGTAAGAATAGAAGGGTTGGTTCAGGCAAGGATATGTTGGGTCCAGCGGTGGCTTCCCTGGAAAGGAAATGGGGGCAGGGTGGGATTAGATTGGCAGTGGTGGGTTTTGGATGCTGAGGTCTCAGCAGTCAGGGAGGTGTGGTTGTGGGGAAGTGGTTTCAGTGGTGAGCGGGGCGGGAGGCAGAGGGGGTTCAGTTTAATAATTATACAGTAGTTAGTCTCGGATTTTAATGCTCTAACCTTTCCTGAGAAAATATTAAGTTGGAGCCAGTCAGAACTTCAGAAATTCTGACTGTAAGGGACTCTGAGAGTTCCAGACACAGAAGAATAGTCAGAAGGAAATTCAGATTTTCCGGGCAATTTCCTTGCAGTCAACTGCATTAGGACTTCTGCACAGTCTCAATGTGCAACCCCAAGCTACCTTGCAGAAACAAATATCAGGCCATTGGAATTTCTAGGCCCTTTATTTTCACAGACACGTTACTGCATTGATGTTCTCACAGTCTACCTTCAATAGCTAAATAGCTTGAAGAAAGTACACCAGTGCAATTTGTGGCCGCACACTTTCTCTGGTAAATTACTAGTTTGTCTTACTATTTAATATTCACTTAATTCTCTTAACCATCTTTTTCTTTCTTTATTAGATTCTTGACTCGATTAATTGGAGGAGACTGCATACTTTGGTGGCCCTATGGTGTCGCATGTACCATCTGATATTTCCAGTGCCAATTATACCATCTGTGGAAATTTTCCCAGCCAGACCTCTATATCAGGCATGCCAAATTTCCCATCTGTTCTAAAGTTCTCAGTTATACCATCTGTGCCAACTTTGCCAACAGTCACATATGCCTGTTTTACAATTGTACCAACAGTGCCACCTGTATTGCAAATGCTTTCTGTGTCGTTTTACTTAATATGGTGCTACCTATGTAAACTGCTGTCTCTTTGACTGTTGCACGTAAAACAAGTTTCACACAATCCAGCATCTAATATTCTAAATATATTAAAATTATGTACAGACAATGTAGAAAGGATGACTTTCTTTATTCTCCCATCAAAACAATCAGGTGGCTACTCATTTAAACAAAAGGTTTCTGACTGAAGATATGCTTACTATTTCTATAAGGGCTGTCATGCTCAGTCATGTGAATCAAATGTGTGTCTCACACTAATAAATGACCCATTTGAAGCGAACTCTTAAAATTGTAATTTTCCCCTTCCTAAAGAACTGAATGTTCATAAAATACTTTAAATTAACATCTTCGCAGATTGCTGACAAGTAAATTATTGTTAATGAATAGCAATTGCATTGGCAATTGGAAGCAAAATTTCTGCAGATAATATGAAACCTTAAAATCCATCCAGATCAGGAGGTAACCATAACCTTGCATGGTAATATAATCTAATTATATCTATGAGTTTGTCTATTTTAACAATAAAAAACATTTAATAAATTAAGCTTTAGACAAGAGACATGATCATTTTTTAAATTCAAAAAGTGCTGGTGATATGAATTTTCTCCAGAGTCAAAAAAACGTATGGACTTCCTATCCGCTGTTGTGTCTAGGGCACCGAGGAGCTGGAGGACAAAATTATTACATTTTTAAAAAAAATTCCATTAACTGCACTGCAGAAAGAATTACTTACTGGTACATACTGGTACTTTCTTGCATAAATAACCTTTGCCAGACAATCAGTCACATTTATGAATATCACAAACTGTCTATTCAAATGTGTGCATGTTTTGGGCACAACAAAGAATACATAGTGATCATGACTTCACTGTAGATTTTTGGGTTGCAGGCTACATTTCAATGAGTTATTTTCTTCATAGAATCTTAGAATGTCAAAATTTATACAGAACAAATTACATCTGAATGTTCCTATTATTTTATTATAGAATGATGAAATAATAAGCTGAGGTTATCCAATTGACTCTTAAGATCTTTTCCATGAATTTGTAATTGAAACATACTGCTGCTTGATTTTCGTGAAAGTTAATTAAGTACTATATGTCCTGCTTAATGCAGATTTCAGATGCTACAATGAATATAAATTATATCTGACTGCATCATTGTAGTCTATCCTGTTGTTCTTCAGCCATGGACTCTTTAATATGTATTAGTAGAAGTTCCAAGATCTTAATGACTTAATTTTTAATCCTTTTATCCTCAAATTGTTTTCACTTCTCCCAGCTTCTTTCTGAATGTATTCTTAATCATTTCATTTTCACTTTTTTATTTTTGTTTGAGAACTTTGTGCTATTCAGAATTCTTATGAGAAATTGAATACTTTGTTCACAGGGCAACAAACATGAAGAATTTGAAAGCATGCCCAGGTTAGGGCGCCCATAATAGACAATGGTATGAACCTCTCTTTGCTTTTCCCAACAACCTGTTTCAGCCTCGGCATCATTTAAAAAAAGGTCAATATCTTTTTTGAAGTCATAAACAGAAAAATGTCGTGGCACCACATTGAACGTCAGTCTCTTTCTCACTACTTTGGCAGGAGAGGAAGGGGGATGTTGAATTGGGTCAGATCAGCACAGGAAGGTTTGGTGGGGTATTTTAGTCTTGCAATTGATGATAAATATGGTCAAGGTTGTTAAAAGCAGAAAAATGGGAATAGTTCAATTTATGAACCTAGTTGGCATGGATGAGTTGGGCTGAAGGGCCTAATTCTGTGTTTTATGACTGAGTACTATAAGCCCATTTTATGTTGTCAAACAACCTAATCTTGCTTCTACGGGGGAAGAAAACTATATTTCTATCGTGCTTTTCACCATTTCAACTTAAAGCACTACATAATCAATTAAATTTTGTTTTTAGTCATTGTTGTAAACAGCAGCCAGATTGTGTAACAATCTCCCGGAAACAATGATGTAACAATAACCAATGTATTTCCAGTGATACCTTTGAGGGAAAAATGTGCTGAGTAATTCGAGAGAACTCCTCTGTTCATTGTCCAAAATAAAGCCCTGGAATCATTAACATCAGCCTGTAGGGTATGCATTGGTTTGGTTTAACATCTCGAACTAGCAAAAGTGCTGGGCTGGAGTGTCAACCAAGTTTTTGTGCTCAAATCTCTGAGAGAAAAAAAAGTATGGTATTTGTGAATTCCTCACCAGTTGTCGATGGTGAATACTCTGGGTGAGGTAAATAATTCAACCTTTTGTTCTTGCATTTTGAAATGAAATTTTTCAAAAGGCTAACTGGTACCATGCATTGCATCTTTAAATATGACAAACATGATGCTGTCTGAATACTTTGCATCAAGCTAGAACGGTTAATTCAATATTAAATCATGTTTGGAGAGTGAAATAAAGACAGAAAAAGTAAGATGGGAATAAAATAAATATTTTGATATTCTGAACAAGGTTCTGGCATGTGCTAGACCTTTACATGTAGCAAAGCTTTCAGGAAGATTGAAATGTGTACTGCTGTCCTCATTGGCAATAGTCTGGTAATCCTGGAAGAGCAGTGGAGTGAGACAGTGGATCATGGAGGGAAGGGGTGTGTGATTGTGATCACGATCATAGTACTATGGAGCCAATTGAAGAACCCATGTTCTTTAAGACCCTAATTTAAAATATCTGCTCCTCCTTTTAATTGTAGCTACTCACTGGGCTGCAACCACACTAGCAAAGTCTGAACAGAACAGGTGCACTGCTGGCTCTGTTTAATGTTCAGCCTAACAAGTCCTTAAAACAGCTGTTAGACATTCATCAGCAAAGGCAACAAGTCAAATGCATATTGTTGGAGATTGCTCGAGATCCTAAATATCATTTGAGGTCAGCTCTGGGCTTGCATATTCAGTCTATTTAGCCTCAGGCTACCTGCCCAGAAAATGGGCATGGTGACACCCAATTCTTACTCCATTTTGGTTTATTTTGTATTCTGTATTCCACTCTTAACAACAGCCATGAGGGGCTCAGTTGTCATTGTTGAGAGGATGGATCCAAGTGGTGCACAGATGTCTTCAGTCTCACAAGCAGTATGTAGTTGCTTCTGGTCTTTTGGGAAATTATGTTTATTTGAATTTTATGATCTCAGTTAGTGCCTTTTTCCTAGGAAACCAAACGGATCAGTGAGATTAAATTATGTTGACATAAAATTCTGTTAAAACAATACTTTTCTACAGCATCATGAACACCACATTACATACTTTAAATTTTTGCTATGACAAATACTGTATTGTCACTTCCATGGCACATTTTAAGTGTTAGTTACAGGCTAAGAATTATATTTAACACTCTTTTTCAATTTGGCAATTTTTATTCCTGAACATATGATAAATTGAATCTTTGTCTTCTATGAACATTCGTATATCTTTAAAACAGAGCCAAGCAATTAATTCTACTTTATTG